GCTTCCATATTTTTGTTCAATTTCTGTATTTCTTCCTCCAGTAGTTCTTGTTTTAGGTTGGTAAGTTTGAATAACTCGAGGAGTTCTTCCATGATTTTCTTTTCAGTTCGCGGCATTCTTTCGTTGTAGTTATATAAAAGAAATATGTTGTAGTGGTTCCAACAAGAGAAAAGTATGTAAACCTTAATTGTTTTATGACCCTTCACGCAGAACTCTTCATTGACAATTCTAGAAAGAAAATTCGGATTGCCAACACACAAACAGAATGTCTCTTATATCGAGAATATTCCACATTGAACATGAAGAAAAATTAATTATTTTTTAATAATATGTAAAAATCTCCACTTTCACCTGAAGACGGTTTGAGACCAGACCAGAAACACGTGTCGTGAAATTATGTAAAACAAAGTATAATATTTTTTCTCAATAAATCCACATTACAACCAAAAACGTTTGCGGCACCCCTCTTCTTTTAATATATATATATATATATATATATATATATATATATATACAAATACATGCAAATATATATATATATAAATATATATATATATATATATATATATATATACATGCATGCATATATATATATATATATATATATATAAATATATATATATACACATATGCATATATATATACACACATACATATACACACATATGTATATATACATGAATTCATACATATGTATATACACATGCATACATACACATATATATGTATACATACACATTTATTTACAAACATACATACACATATACACAGACACACATAGATATAGATATGCACATACATGCACACGTATATATATATATATATATACATATATATATATACACACACACACATATATATATACATATATTACACACACACACACATATATATATATATATTACACACACACACACATATATATATACATATATTACACACACACACACACATATATATACATATATTACACACACACACACATATATATACATATATTATACACACACACACACATATATATATATATACATATATTACACACACACATATATATATACACATACACACACACACACACATATATATATATACATATACACACACACACACACATACACATATATATACACACACACACACACACATATATACATATATTATACACACATACACACACATATATATATATATACATATATTACACACACATATATATATATACATATATTACACACACACATATATATATACATATATTACACACACACACACACATATTACACACACACACACATACATATATTACACACACACATATACATATATTACACACACACACACATATACATATATTACACACACACACACACATACATATATTACACACACACACATATATATTACACACACACACATATATATATATATGTATATATATATATGTATGTGCTATTTATTATAACTATTAATAAAATAAAATAATTCAGTTATGAATGAATCTCAACTACAACTTTTATGGATATCTTAGATATAGATGGCTGCCCAAATACACAACTATATATATATATATATGTATGTAAGCAAATATATGGATATAGATCCGACAGTATGAAGAAAAATACAGAAAAAACAAACAAAAATCTTAATATGCAATTATGCTGTATTAATGTTAATATAAACTTTATATTAACATTAATACAGCATAATTGCATATTAAGATTTTTGTTTGTTTTTCTGTATTTTTCTTTTATATATATATATATATATATATATATATATAAAAAATGAAAGGAAGTTCATGTATGCATACAATACAATAATAAAATGAATAGAAGTACCATGTTAGTCATTTTTAACAAAATTTATCTTAGATATATATTGCTGCCCAAATACACAAATATATATATATATATATTAACTGATTTAAAATGTGTTTTTTTCACTACACAGTAATAACCATGTTTAAGCTAAAAACTTTAAATTTAATTTTGTAACTAAATTAAAAACATTAGTTCCATTTCATCCTCAAATTTTAAAATTGCAAAAGCTTAGTAATTGGTTGTTGGAAAATCTTAAATCTTAAATCTGAAAAAAATCTTATATATTAATAGCCAATGGTCGACGTAAAATCTTACTTATTCTACACTCTTGCACGCCCCTAGTGAAACTCTAACACTCTAAAAAAATTGTTTGTTTTCAGAAAACTTCTTGCAACAAATTAAGTTTGACAATCAAGGTTCCACTATATATGTAAGATATAATATAAACAATATATAAAAAAAAATATATATATATATATATATATATATATATAAATAGCTGGCTGCTAGTATCTGAGTATGCTTGTTTGCTATGGGGGCTAACCAATCCCTATTTCAGATGCCTGCTCAGGCAGATTTATGTATGCTTGTTTTACACTGCAACTGAGCTGAATGGACCTTAGTTTGAGTTTATAGGAGAGAGCACATTATCTGGTGTTATCAACAGTCTGTACAAAGCCAGTATGCTGAAACCCTCAGTTTTGATGACTTGTGACATTAGCTAGCTCAATCATCAATGGTTTCCAAATAGTTCTGTCGAACCAATTTCACTCACAAGGCTTGGGTCAAACTGTAGTATGGTTTTTGTCATGTTCCAAAGGTGCCACATGCTGGGATCACCTTTACAGTCAATAACATCAAGTAATCAACTTTCCAACAAATCAACCTTGGTGATATTCAAACCCACCTGTCATAGTTGGAAAGCAAATATCTTAACCATGTCTCCAATAATATATATATATATATATATATATATATAGGTAAAATCTGTGGGTAAATAATCCAAGTGAATCTTAATCATGAAAATATTAAAATTGATCCACAAAGAGAGCTCAATATATTTATTAATTTATTATAGAGCATATATAGATAATTTACACCTCCGAGATTTTTTAAGACAAAAATATTCCAACATAAATACTGAAAGAAAGACAAAGAGTACAACAACCAAAGCATTTTAAGTATAACAACCAAGATGAGAATGCTGGTCTGAATAGCAAAGCATATAATAATGATAATTCCTTATCTCAAATATTCCAATATAAATAATGAAAGAAGGCCGGAGAGTACAACAGCCAAAATGGTGTGAGTATAACAATCAAGATGAGAATGCTGGTCTGAATAGCAAAGCATATAATAATGATGATTCTTCCTCTCAAATATTCAATCATAAATAATGAAAGAAGGCTGGAGAGTACAACAGCCAAAATGGTGTGAGTATAACAACCAAGATGAGAATGCTGGTCTGAATAGCAAAGCATATAATAATGATAATTCCTCATCTCAAATATTCCAATAGAAATAATGAAAGAAGGCTGGAGAGTACAACAGCCAAAATGGTGTGAGTATAACAACCAAGATGAGAATGCTGGTCTGAATAGCAAAGCATATAATAATGATAATTCCTCATCTCAAATATTCCAATATAAATAATGAAAGAAGGCTGGAGAGTACAACAGCCAAAATGGTGTGAGTATAACAACCAAGATGAGAATGCTGGTCTGAATAGCAAAGCATATAATAATGATAATTTCTCATATCAAATATTCCATCATAAATAATGAAAGAAGGCTGGAGAGTACAACAGCCAATAATGATGTGAATATAACAAAATGAGCATGCTGTTCTGAATAGCAGAACTTATGAAAGAAATAATATAAATTTCTAATTTCTTTCTTTGTCAGTGCACTTTTCCATGAAGCACAAAGCACTAACATTATGCAGTGAACATTTCAGATAACAGTATCAAGCTATAGACTTATTGATCCACTCTCATATATGATTACAAGAACACACACATACATAATTCCTCAACACATTCACACAACTTAAAAATGAATGTAATTTAACTATTAAAACCATACTCACCATAACCTAAACATATATAACCTTAATATATACACTAAAAAAAAAATAAACATATAAAACATATCACCTAAACACATCAACTAACATAATAACATATATAACCTCTCCATACACACATACCATTTAAACATTCAGGCAATTTAACTTTAAATAAAATACTCACACTAAAACAATATCACATATTACCTAAACATATGTAATCTAAAGCATATAAAAAATTAAACACATAAAATACATATAAACTAAATATATAACATATATAAAATATGTATGTTATATAGAAATAAACATATATAACCTAAACATATGAGTGTTAAAGTATACTCACCTGAATAATCTAAACATACATAACCTGAACACATATAGCTTAAACATATAAAATGTATATAACCTAAACACCTCACACCATCACACCTCCTCTAAATGCAATAATTAAAAATTCAAGGAATTTAAAGATTAAAAAATACTAACCCTAACACAGTAACCTAATATAAACATATAAAACATATAATGTAAACATATAAAACATATAAACATATAAAGACATAATCTAAACAGATAACCTCACATATAAGCCCTACATAGACACAATATAAAAATCAAGATAATTTCAATATTACTCAACATAACACAGAAACATAGCCTAAACATATATAAATCAGACAACACATATAAGCTAAATGTATAAAACTAATAAGACATATGTTTTATATAAAACACAAATAGATTAAACATAACCTAAGCCAAATACAACTTATATAAATCTGCTACACATACACTACTCAACAATTCAGGTACTTAAACTGTTAATATATAGTCACTTGAATGCATATAACTTAAATAGATAGTCTAAACAGATAACCTAAAACAAATGGCTTAACAGTTATATCCACCACATCCACTGATTACTTATAAATTCAGGTAATTTAAATATTAAAAAATTTGCTTATGCTTACAATTATTTTTCACTGCTTTCTTGGAAACAGAGTCTGTGGGCTGTTTACACACTGACTCAGAAAAGGCTTTCATTGCTATAATCTATTTATGTGAACATTTCAAATTTTAAAATATTGGGGTAGTACCTTGTACATATTGCTAAGTATAGAACAAACAAAGAAGAGTGAACATTTAAAGAGAAAATTAAAAGAGGAAGTAAAAATAAAAACTACAAGAGAAGAGAAAGAACGTGAAAGAGAAAAATATGTGAGGCAAAAGAAGAAAAAGAAGAGGCTAAGAAAGAAAAACCAGAATACTCCTTGACTTGAACCTGGAATGTTTAATTTAAAAGCCTCAGATGAGCCATGGCCTGATAATTCAATTTCTATACACATTGCTTCATGGAGGTAACAAACAGACAGGCAGGCAAACATCAAAAGTTTCTAATAAGACAAATATAAGACCAAAAAATCTGTTTGGGAATTAATTTTAATCGCATTTAGTTTTGTGGGCAGGGGTGGCAAAGGAGCAACAAAACAAACCTAAAAGATACAGATAATGAAGATGATAGGGAAAAATTGTCACTGGCTTGCTTGGCAAACTCAAGATGGAGGATTCGGGTGGAGAGAATAAACAGAAATAGAAGTATGCTGAGAGAGAGAGGGAGAGAGAAGAAAAAGAGAAGGAAGAGTAAGCAAAATGATTTGAAAAAGGAAAAGGAAGGATAACAAGTTTGGTGATGAAAAAGAATTGATAGAAGAGAGAGAAAAAAACAGAAAAAGAAAAAACTAGAAAGAAAACTGCTTGAAAGTGAAAGTGAAAGTGAAAGAAACACAGCCTTAAAAAAGGAAAGGAAGAAGAGGAAAGTGGTGAGAGAAAAAGAAAAAGCGGAAGGCGTAGAAAGAAAAGGAAAAAGAGCAAAGCATAGAGAGAAAAGGTAAAAAAAGAAAGGCATGGAGAGAAAAGGAAAATGAGGAAGGCAAAGAGAGAAAAGAAAAAGAGTAAGGCAAAGAGAAAACAAAAATAACAAAAATAGGATGATTGAGAGGAAAGAGGAAGATGCAGAGAAAAAATAAAAACAGAGAGGCATAGAGGGAAAAGGAAAAAGATGAAGACAAAGAGAAAAATAATAAGGAGACATAGAGAGAAAAATAAAAATAAGAAGGCATAAAGAGAAAAGGAAAAAGAGGAAGGCATAGAGAGATATGGAAAAGGAAAGGCATAGAAAGAAAAGGAAAAAGACAGTAGCATATAGTATGAAAGAAAAAGAAATACATTAGAATAGCAAAATGAATGAAAACTTGATAAATAGAAAAAAGGGAAAAGATGAGAAGAATGGAAAAAGACAAAAGAAAAATCATGAGGAAAAGGTAGAAAAAAGACAGAATGACAACATAAATAGAGTAGGAGGAATAAGAAGGGGAAGTATAGGAGAAAAAAAAAGAAGGATAATTTTTGTGGTGGGGGGAGAAGAAAAAGATGCCAAAAGAGAAGAAAACTGAAAAAGATTAGGTGGAAGAAAAGATAAAGACAAATAGAGGGAGAGAGGATAAAAATCTGATATTTGTAAACAAATATGAATGTTGGCTGTTTTCAAAACTAGGCCTACATTTTGAGAAAATAATTATTAACATGAAAGAAGGAAAAAAAAAGAAGCAAAGAAAATAAAAGAAAAAATCTGAAAGGAAAAAAAAGAATATTATTATTCAAATGGTCTTCTAAGAGAAGAAGAAAAAGAAAAAATAACAAAGAAAATAAAAGAAAAAAAATTTGAATGAAAAGGAAAGAGTATGATAGATCATCAATTCATAGATGATTTTGAACAATCAGCTATGAGAGAAAAAGGAAGAAGTAAAGAAAATAGAAGAAAGAAAATTTGAATGAAAAAAGAAAAGCTTTATAAGTGAAAAAAAAGGAAAAAAAAGAAAGAAGTAAAGAAAATCTAAAAGGAAGAAGAAATTTATTGTTAAAAAAAAAAATATAGAAAGAAATAAGCAAGGAAAATAAAAGAAAAATATGAAAGAAAAAGAAAGAGTATTATTGTTCAAAATCTTTTATGAGTGAAAGAGAAACAGAAAGAAAAAGAAAGAAGCAAAGAAATTAAAAGAAAATATGGAAAGAAAAAGAACATTATTATTCAAAATCTTTTATGAGAAAAGTAGAAAAAGAAAAAGGAAAGAGGGAGATGTTATAATAAAAGAGGAAAACCTAACAGTTTCAACTACAGAAGATGAAGAAGCTGAAGTGAAGGAAGAGAATAAGAAAAAAGACCTTGTTTGTTTGTCTTCGACATGCGCTGCTACGGCCGTCGCATCCAGCTGTTGGGCAAATGCCTTTGATATTTGCCTCGTTTGACGTTCAGCGGCTTTAATTCCCCAATTAATGGGCATAAAACTGACAGTTAAAGGCTAATTAGAATTAATTTTCAAATGACAAGAAATGTCTATTTTTTTAGTCCTTTTTCTGTGGGAAGGTAGGCGGAGAAATAAATGCTTTGCTGCCCTTGAAATGACTTGAAAATAAACAAACAAATATTTAAAGAGAAATGAAGTACCCATCTTTAAAAATTGTGATGTTGTTTCAGTCTGTAGATGTTTGTAAGATGATAATGTTACAGATTTTTCAAGAACATGAATGTACTGGCTACAGTAAGCACAGGGTTTTAAATGTCATTTTTCTGAGAGAGATTCTTTTCTCATGAAATTACATGAACAAAAAATATAAACAAAATATTTACCCATCTGAAAGTTACAGATGGGTACATATTTTTTATATATAATCTATAAATATAGAGGAAGTAAAATTGCTATGTTAAAAACAGGGGGTTAAAATTGCTACCTTAAAAGTAGGGGTAAAACTGCCATATTAAAAGGTGTTAAAATTATCATGATTAAAATAAGGGAATGAAACTACAAGTTTAAAATGAGGAGGCAAAATAAGGGAGGAAAATTAGCATGTAAAAAAAAAGGAGGTATAATTCTGTGCCATATCACTTCAGGATGTAGGCGATAATGGCTCTCCACAATTTCTTGTCCTTCATAGCTCTTAATAAATTTAATCCTTTTTGTTATTTCTCTTAAACCTTGTTCTGCCATACATTTACTCACTAAATAGATTATGTATTGTCTTCCTCTGTCTCTCTCTCTTCTTCAATCTGTCCCATGAGTATCAGATTTTCCAAGCCTTCTTTCCTCATTATGTGCTCTAGAAATTTCAACTGTCTCTTCCTGATAATTATAATGTTCAAAATAAAGGGTAAAAAATTATCATGTCAACAAGAAGTGGCAAAACCAACATGTTAAAAATTAGGGGGTAAAAGGTTACCATAACTTAAAAAGTAGGGTAATACCATGTTAAAAATAAAGAATAAAATTACCATTATTTACACTATTTACATGCGGTCCATTGTCCTCATCTTTATTGTTGTTATCACAATGGCCGAAAGATTGTGATGAGAACAATAATCTGCATGTAGTGTAAATAATATTAACTCCTCATCCCAGAAATTCAGATAAAATGACTATGTTAAAAATAAAGGAATAAAATTAGCATGTTTAAATAAGGTGTAACATTTTTCTTCTTCTATGTGTTGCATTCCCTTCCATGATTTCCTCTCCTAAAACCTTTCTTCACTATCCTCTCAGACTCTCTAGATAGTTTATGCGTTGTTTTTCTCTGTCCCTCTTGTCTTTAATCTGCCCTTTGAGTATCAAATTTTCCAAGCCATCTTTCCTCGAAATTCCAATGGTCGCATCCTGATGTTATGTATAAGTGTCTTTTTGTTTCCATTTTCTCAAAAACTTCGTTGTGGCCACCAATAATGAATACTGGTAGGACTTTTAATTCTTTCAGAATCACCTCAATGCATAAGGCTGATAAATCACCTCAATGTATAAGGCTGAATAAATCACCTCAATGTATAAGGCTGAATAAATCACCTCAATGCAGAAGGCTGAATAAATCACCTCAATGTATAAGGCTGAATAAATCACCTCAATGTATAAGGCTGAATAAATCTGCTGAGAAGACACATCCTTGTCTTACATCCCTTTTTATTAGTGTATATTTATTGAACTCATTATCTATCCATATGCAGGAGGTTTGCTGCTGCTATAGGTTCTGGGTTATTTTAATATACTTCTGAAATATGTAATGGTTACTGAGTGTTCCAACAGTTCTTTGTGAACTGCTTTATCAATTGCATAATCTATAATACTCTGTTAAAAACAGTAGGTTAAAATTACTACCTTAAAAACGGGCGGTAAAATTATTTGTTTGTTTTTCCCATTGTTATTTGAAATAATATGCAAAATATTTTTACCATAGTGTATTATGGATTTTGGTAGATCTATTTTTCTGCTACAACTTTTATTATTTTTTAAATTTGTTTGAATTGTCCCTCTTTTCAGGCCTATGATGATGGAGCATCAATTAGACAAAAAAGAGTATTTTTAAAAACCTGCTTCTTTTTTCTTCCAATCAACACGACGAAACTCATCTATACATCGCTAGTTTAATGTAAAATGCTCTTCAAGAGGTTGGTTAGGAAGTTCTAACACAACTATCATATTCTCTTGGTTTAGCACCTTCAGTCACTTTCCAACAGTTACGACTGAATAGTGAGTTTGATCCTTACTGGGTGATCCATACTTTTGTCCTTGTGCCACATCTAAGCTATGTTTAGAAAACCTATATATATATATATATATATATATATATATATAATACTGAAATTTCACTGAAATTCAAAATAAGAAGGAAATTACTGGAAAGTAATTGAAACTCACCTGAATAATATATAATTCACATTATATACAGGGTGTGTTGGATAAATCATCATCTAAATTATGCAAACATGAAAATAACACTGACATCTCATTTTAACAGATAAATTTACCAAAATTAAACAAAAATATCTTGAAATACTAGAGAGTAAATTTATTCAATAAAATCACCATGGCCACCACAGCCTCCAGATGACTTTGAAATACCATGCAACTCTTCTAGATGGTTTCCTTGTTTAAGTTGGTGAATGCTGCCATAATCTTTGCCTTCAGTTTGTCTTTGGTGCTCCAAGGAGTTTTGTTGATCTGTTGCTTATCATAATAATCAAGGGGGTTGCAGTCTGGTGAGTTAGATGGCCAGATGTAATGGGTGATTTAGTCATAGAAATTGTCTGACAGCCATGACTGTGTTCTCCTGTTTGTGTGGCATGGTGCAGAGTACTGTTGCCAAACATAGGGTCTTCCAGGAGCCATCCTCTTGACCCAGGGTAGCACTTGACATAGGCCTCTGTGTTGAGTCTGAGGCTCTCAGTAAAAAATTTAGGGTTTCTCTTCTTCTTAGACTGATGCAAGTGAGTTTTCCAAGCTGCCATACTTTCATAATTCTCATCGAACTCATTCTGAATCCTCTGCACTCTCTTCAGATTGAAACCTAAACACTCTGAAATGTTTGTATTGGAGCTTCCGGTATGAATGCCAAGCAATACTGCATACTGTTTCCAAATTTCTGGCAGAGTGAATTGTGTTATGGTGCCCTTTTTCTCACAGATGGTGCCCAACTGACCCTACTATACTGTGCAGTCAACAGAATCAAAAACCAACAATGTGCATACATGAAATTAAAAATATAATACTGCAAAAATTTACTGATCGCACTCTGTATAATGGAAATGAAAATTATATATTACTATATATGATATAGATATTATATATATGACATATTTAGAAATTATATATTATTTTGAATTTAAATGAAAAAATATATATATATATATTAAATTTAAAAGAAAAACAATATTTATATGTATGTGCATATGAATATATATATATTATATAGGAATTTCATTTAAATTTAAAATAATATATAATTTGTATTATATATAAAAGAAATTAAAATTATATATATTTTCAATGTCACTTACGTATATTATTTTGGGATTTCTCTTTAACTGGCTTGAATTCATACTTAAATTTAAATCTAATTCTTATAAATTCTATATTATTTTTTATATGAGATAAGTGTAAAACTATCCCATGAGCTTTTGGTTATTAATGGTGGCCAAATTAATATCAGTAACAGTAATAATAGGAGTAGCAGCTGGCACTGAATAAAAGTTTTAGTAGTCAAGCAAATAACTCAATCTGTCTTTAAACAAGCACCACTCCAAAATCATAGGATTAAATTTAACTTAACAACAGTAACCATTTTAATTCTGGCATTACTTAAATTCCTTTACACTGTGCTGTCTTGAATTCTTAAATTTAAATATCCATTTTTTTGCTTCGCTTTCTTTCAATGAATTCTTTCCTTTTCTGTCTTTTGCATTTTAGCTTTGATTACCTTAACAAAGAAATTGATTTGAAAACAATTTTCAAATTGTCTCCATTCAGTTATCGTCAGTTCCTTTAAACAGATTTCAGCTTCAAACGAAAATGTGTGGAAGACTTAGTGATTCGTTTAGGTGGGGAATTTTTTTTTCTTCTGTCTCTTCATGTCTTATTCTTTTAAATGTTTTTTTACTTGTAAATCACTTTATACATTTCTGTACCTTCAGGTAAGTATATCACCACTGACAAACTGAACAAAAAAATAAAAAATAAAAAAATAAATTGAAATTTTTTTTTTCATTTCTTTCTGTTAGACTTTTATTCCATCCTTCATTCAAATAATTTTCTTTCCTTATCTATTCCTTCCAATATTTTTTCATTATTTTTTCCTTGTTTTAACTTTTTATTAAGAAAAAAATTAAAATACTTCTTAACATTACAGCCTTACTACATCTTATTTTTCTCTTTTA